AGCTTCTTTGCCACTTTTTCTGCAGTACGAATAAACTCCCAAAGATGGTGAGACTCTAAGGTGCCCACGGTCAGGAAATGGAGTGAGAATGACCCTCCTCTGCAAAAATTGAACAGACAACTGGATTATTCTTCATTGGTGTCCATCACACCTAACCAGGCACTTTCGTCATGGTTGGGTACAGGGAAACAACCCCAGACACCTGCATAGAGGTGAAGGGCTCAGGAGGGATCACTCACACAGCCACAGTAAGGGCATCTGTGCCCAAAGCCAGGGACATGAGCCAGGGCAGCATCACTGCAGATTGCCTGGAGGCAGCACCCAAGCCAGACGGAAGGAGGAAGGGCAAATTCTTCTTGTCTTTCTTTTCCTGGTGTGCAATTTATTGACTAAAAATGTAGTTTGGGCAACACATAGCTCTTTGCTAAACTCTAATTTTGGTAACTTATTCTGGTGAAAAACAAGGAAGGAAATTCTGGTTTGACTTTTGCTTTCAACACATATATTTTCAGTTTGAAAACAGCTAAAGCTTCAATATTTTTTTAGTGACTAAAGAGTGACTAAAGAGAACTGGGAAAAAAATTAAAATAAAAGTAAACACTCTCCAGCAGGAAAAGACATTCAAGAAATTCCTCTGTCCTGAAAATAAATTCTATTTCACTTTTTTAATGTGGTCAGAGGGTGGAAAAATCAGTTCTTTGCTCAGCCCTTACACTGAAATCTGGAGAAGGACAAAGCTTCTCTTGAGGTCTCTGCCTCACATACCACTTAGGCCTTGGATAGTGTATCCTGTTCCTTGAACTCCACCAATGTTTAATCAGGGTGACATGTTCCTCCAAGACAAAAAATGTCAGTCTGTTCTCCAGCATCTAAACTTCTGCTTTGGCCTGTCCTGTTTTGATTCAGATCTTTACCGGCTGCACTGCCTGGATCCAAATTTTATCTCATGTGTCTGCTCTCCCTCTTTCTCTGTCAGACATTGTCAAAATCCCCTGTTCCCCAGAGACACTGTTTGTATCTCCCTCAAATACACAGACCACAGTCTGTACTCTGCACAGAGCTACAGCCTGCATGATCTGAGCCCTTCTCAGTCTGCCTCAGCAAAAGCCCCGAAAAGCAGTGCCTGGGATTGTCCCCTAGCAGATGCCATGCCCTGGCGAAAACTTTGCCTGCTCATTTCTAAGCTTTTCCAAAGCCACATCCAAGAGAAGCCAAATGCATAACACACAGGTTTTGCAGGACAGCACAGGTGCAGAGAGAGGGGTGCAGAGCAGGAGACATGGCTGTTGCAGCCGAACAGCATTATCCTCAAAAGAATACAGGGCATGCCACAGAATCTTATTCAGCAGAGATCCAAACCTCTGATCTCTTCCTCTATTCTCACAGTCCCAAAGTAGCTGATTTTTTTTCCTACCTCCCTAATCCTGTGCTGTTTGGTCCCACTGCCTGGTTCCCTCCTTTGTGAACGTTGCCTGTCTGTTAAAGCAAGAGGCCCTGGCTGAGTGCTATCAGCCAATTAGCAGCCATCCAGGCATCCTGGAGATGCATCCAGCACATTCCCAGTTGCAGATGCTGGATACTATGTTTGGATGCTGGATGCTGTTTGTGGCCAGCCCTTGGTGGAGTCCGTGTGCAGTGTCCCTCCTCCTATTCCATTCCCGTGTGGGGATCAGTGAGGGAAGCACCAATGTGAGCTGCAGACTCCAAAATCTGCCTTGGACTGTCAGAGTGCAGAGAAAAGTCTCCTTCCCATGCTGCTTTCCAGAGACGGCCCCGGCAGGACATCCCTGAACTTGATCTTTATCCCTTAGAAACTTCCACCACCAAAACAAAGAGGGAATGGAAAAGGAAAATGGTTTGCTTAGCTCCTGCTGAGGAGTCACAAATGTCTGTACTCCAACTTCCAATGCGTGCAAAACTACTTGTGTAGTAAGAAGTAAGCTTCAAGGCTGGGTGTGCAATAAAATGTGATAAAAAGCGAACATCCTTTGCACTTGCAGTTGTTGCTCTTGAAAATAAGCACCTTTATCTGTACAGACAGCTGTGTCAAAAGGTCCCCATGCTTACACATATCTTATCTTCCTCCTGTGCAAGTCTCCAGGCACAAGTTATTTGGGTTTCCCCAGCCCTTCCATGCCAGCCTCTGTCCAGTACAAAGCATCTCTCTCAGCCCAGTAGCGCTTGCAAGCGAGGTCCGGGTGCAGTAAGTTCACACAGACACTTGCTGGACTTTTTCGGAGGGAAAATCTCCTTTTGCTGTGTTGGTCCAACACATGAAGGCTCTGGTCCTGGTGGGCACCTCATCTCTGCCAGGGATGAATTCTGACTGCAAAGCCTTCCTTACCCTCTCTGCAAACACCTCCAAAGCAGCCCAAGAGCTCAAAACCACTTTGCTTTTTCTGCATGAAACAGATCCTTCAGCATGCAGGAAGTTTCTATATGGTCTGGATAAGCACTATCCATCTGCCAGCGTAAGAAAACCAAAAGCAAAATCCTGCCATGCTTTGCACCCAGTAAGTACATTTCCTAATGGTGGGTTGTGGCTCGGGAGAGATTCACCGGTGTTCATTACCCTAGGAACCCCAAGAGGAAGACAGATGAATGCTATTCTCCTTTCACAGAGGCTGTCAGTAGGAGAGAAGTCAGGGTCTGCTCCCCAAACCTGTGCAGCACTCCCAACCACACCATCGCCTCTGGCACAGCAGGAAGAGAAGCCTCAATTGACTGCATGGGGTCTTTTGAGGGATTTGGCACAAGCCTTGAGTTGCCCCATCTGACCAGACACTGTTCTTTGTTTTCATTCCCAGACTCTTGCTGGTTTTTCTCCTAGAAGAGAACTGAAACAGTGGCTCATCCTCACCTGCTTCACCCTCTCCCAGCTCCCACCCCTCACCCTCTGCATTGCTTTTTTCCTCCAGAAGGATTTTGACAGCTGGTCTATCTGATGGGAAGCTCCTGCCTCACCAGAGCAGAGGGGAGAGCAGTAGCGACCGGTTGCTGAGCAACCCTGAGGATGTGACAGGAAGCCACTGACCTTACAAAGTGCTGCTGCAAACCCTTACTGTCTCACCCACCTTCCGCACATACACACATGCACTCACGGACAGACACGCCTGGGCCTGTCTCCTCCTTACCATGAGGATGAACATCCCCAGCGCTTCTGCCAGCATCTCCCTGATGGTGCCGCTACGAATCGTGAGCGCCTTCTGAATCTTCTCCAGCATGTTGCTCTCCAGCTCCGCTCTGCAGCCACGGGAGCTCCTGTTGTGACAGCACATTTCATTGTGCTGAGCTGAGTTACCCTTTGAAACCTGGCACCCTCCCTTCACCCCCAGACACCTTCATTCGTTTAGTTAACGATGAACAAGCCAATAAAGTAGCCATTAGCGTCGAAGTCTTCCCGCACACACACGCCATTCTTTCAAATCTGTGCAGTTAAGATGCAATATTTATGCTACAGGGGCATTGCAAACTCTGCCTCTGCCCAGGAGCGGACCATCTCCAGAGCAGTGGAGCTGCAAGTGGCCTTGATGTGCTCCTAAATGCTCTGTTTTTCTCCATAACCTTTTCCACAGGCACTGAACAGGAATTTTGGCTGTGCTTTACGGTGTAACCCACTGGCTGACGGTTTGATGCCATTTTTTTTTTTATCAGATGGGATTAACACCATTTGCCTCTGCTTTGCAGGACTGTTTGGACGCTCAGCCTGCACTGAGGATGCTCTGCCTGGAGCAGGTGTGCACTACAGTCTGCAGCTGGGAAAAGCACACCACCTTGAGTGTTGCTTCAGGTTGAGTATCTGCTCTTGCTGAATACACCTGTGCTACAGCTCCCATCACACTAGCAGAGAGCTTCCCCTCGAGTTCCCTGGTCTGTCCTCTCAACCAGTCTCGGCAATGGTCCCCGGAGACCTTCAGTCTCATCTGGCTGCCAGAGCAGAACACCCTCACTGTCACGATTCCTCTTCCATCTCCTGATTCCCTCTGCTTATCTCCCTGCTCACGAGGTGCTCTTACCTCTCCACAGTGAAAAGGTTCTAATACTTCTGCTTAATCACTGAAAAACTTAAGCCCACTCAACACTCAAGACCTTTTTCTGCGAGCCTTGTCTGGTTCTTTGCTGGTTTTCCTCACCTTCCTGTCAACCTGCTGCAGCTTCTCAGCATGGCTCTGTAGGGGACACGGTGCACAGCTCTGGGGGGTTACCAGCACCGGCCCGATGGGGCACAGTGCTCTGCTCACGCTGCCCTGCCATTGCCTCCCTCTGCACTACCGTGTTGCAAAAGTTTGTGAGATTTCTTTCACGCACAGGACACTAAGCAGCTGTATGGAAGAACCTGGGAAGCTAATTCTTCTCTCTGCTCTGTAGGTGATTCTCTGTCTTGTGCAGGGAAGGTGAAAGCCCTCCTCCAGCAATGGATTAGCTATTGACCTCAGTGAATGCCTGGCTAAACACGCAGTAATTTACTAGTCTGTCTCTGATACTAAGGACCATCTAATCATGACAGATGATAATCATGCTGCTGACAAGGGTGTTCCTACAGCTTATTTCTAGGTGGGAAGGGTTTTTTTGTCCTATGAGTCTGTGAGCCGTACTGTGGCCAATAGATTTTTTCCAGGTCACTTCATTCTCTGCCGTGCAAATGTTTATTGGTGGAGCATACAAACACGGGCCCTGGAGCACCAGGTCAGGGTGGTGACAAGAGCCTTGAGTTTCTTCTGCACGTGGTGATGTACAGCTGACATGTAAAGCTGAGGTCTTGGCATCAGTGTGTATTGGAGATCTCACAGCCTTTCTGAGATGGACATAGTGTGAGTGGGTCTGTATACCACACAAGCCGACCTACAACTTCTTTTTTTCCTCCTAGATCTCAGAGAACCTTCCAAGTGGGGTCTTCCCCTGTAGGCAAACATGAAAGCTGTGTCTCTGAAAGGCTTTGTCTTCTGTGTTCAGACATCTCTATATTCTAATCCGGAATGCAGAATGGACAGGTATTTTCTGGGAACACTAGGCTCCCATGGACTTGCAGTCTTCTCATGGAAAAAAGGAATCCCAGTTTGCAATAGAAATCTTCGGTTTGGTGATAATATTTACCGTATAATCCCTGATATTATCACCAAATGCCCTAAAACTCCAGCATGCTTCTAGGATGGTGTCGTGGATCACTGGATGTGCCTCTTGCCGCTGCTTGTCCTTTCACACAGATCATTCCACCAGATGGCACTGAGACATTAGTTTCTCCCTCAAAGGAATCAGATGGGTTCCTATATCGGCTGCTGAAAACATGAGAAACTTCTAGTTTTAGAGTTCCTCTGGGAATTTTTATACATTAAAGAAAGGTGGTCTGTCAGTGTTGAAGGAGTGTAACAAGAAAAAAAAAACTTTCTAGGAGTCATATAGGGCAGAGCACCACTGCTCTGACAGCAAGCAAAACCGAAATGTGTGAGCCTGTGCCTTCACCTTCACCTCCCCTTTATAATCGGCAGAGAAAAACAGGCAGCTCCAAAGGGCAGCTCATCTCCACCTAAAATCAGCACCTAAGTCCAGTCCCATGAGTCAAGCTGGATGCCAGCAGTTTTCCTCCAGTGTCTGTGCCAGGGATGTGGAGTGATCTGCTCTGACGTGCACACCCACATGGAGGTATCTACCACCAGGTGAGCTGGACTGCCCTTCCTCCCAGAATACAGATGTGGTGATCTTGAGTGAGCGAAAACAACTATGTGAGTCAGCCAAGGGCTGGAGCATGAAGATCTGCCAGTTGCCCAACATGGCAGATCTGTTTGTACTTGCGTGGTTTCACCTGCCTGCAGGGCTGATGAGGATCTCTGGGGTCACCAAATACAGTCCTCTACTAGCATAAGCACCACACCACATCTTCCCTTTCATGACCAGGCCCATCTCCGTTTTAAGGATAAATGCTTTTTGCCTTGACTGCTTCTGCTGGAAGCCTGCTACCCTACCAGAACTTGCTGCTCTGGAGTTTAGAGACTTTCTTCTAATTTCCAGCCAAATTCTCAAAGTCATTTGTTCATGTACCAGCATTGCCCCATCACAGTCATGAGTTAACATTTCTTACAGGTGCTATTCCATAAAGTTTTCCTATAAGGTTTGTTCAAGAGCGTTAGCTGCTCACGCTTAGCTCTGCGCTGCCTCCTGATGTCTATCTTGACTTGTTCACATGTTGAAACTTCCCTCAACATTGACCTTACAACGATTTTACTGGATTTTCCACCACACATTAAGCAACTGCCTGCTAAACCAAACCCATTATCTTCCATAAGGCAGGTGTGCTTTCAGCACTAGTAATAAAGGCTTCAGTTTGGAGAGGAAAATTCTGGCACAGTCAAGGCCCACTAGCAGTGCTGGTGTTGATACCTATGGTACTGAAGAGCCAGGTAAACAATATCCCCTGGGTCCTGTTAGAGCATCCCAGGGAAGGATGAGCACCCAGGGACTCATGCTTCTGCAAGGAATAATGTCTCTTACTCACTTTGACAGCGCACATGTTTCCTCTGCACCTAGTAGCTAATTTATCTCTTAATTGCACTAATCAACAGCTGGAACGTCACCGCTCCATTAGCTTCAGCCCTGCTGGTGGAGCATTAACTCCTCCCCAGAGGCTGAGGAGCATGAGCTGACAGCACAGCAGAGGAGCTCCTCACGGTGGATGAAGACAGATTGCTCCTCCTTCAGACCAAGGGAACATGGCACAGAAGCAAACGGCATCAGATCAAATGGACATGGCCCCTTTAAGAAGCAAGGCCAGGCCAGGTCAGGGAGACCAGTGTACCACCGGTGTGACCTTAGCTGTCCAGGACAAACCCCACTCAACCTACCTAGAGCACCTGCACCCCGTGGTCTCACATGTAACACTCATGGTCTACCATCTCCTCTCCGTTACAAATGGCAGGCACTGAACAAGTTGCAGACGCCCCAGATATCTGTCTCTCAGTAGACAAGTTTGATCTCCATACTGTCACCCTCTTGCCCATTCCCAGGACACCATCTTCCACAGCCTTTCAGCTCACCCTGCTCACCATTGCCCCTTGCCCTGCACCCGGCCAAAGGCGCATCACCCACACCTGCTCGTTTCCAGTGAAACTGGGCTAGCTCTTACCATGATGGGCAGAAGTGGGCTCTGGAGGGACCGATGGAGGGGTGTGGTGGCACAACGGTGGCATCCTGCTCCAGTCCGCAGCCCTCCACTTCTCTCCCCAGGGCCATGATGCCGCCTTGCCCCAGACTGCTAAAGCTCTCAGCCGGAGGCAATCCCCTCGGAGCAGTGTCAGCAGGAGGGGAATTACATGGCTCTTGTTGGTCATCAGGGGGAGAGCAGGGCTCTTCAGGAAGGAGTTGCCTGAGGCAGTGCCGGCCCCATTGTTGGGCAACAGAACGAGGGCGCCTGGGCTCCCCCAGACAGGGACCCACCCACCCCATGTCCGGCCACCCTCCCCTCCTGCCCTCAGCTGACTTTCCAGACATAATTGGGCCATTTTTGTACACAGTAAAGTGTGATGATTTTTGAGGCACCGCACCAGCTTCCTTCTGGGCAAAGCCCTGGGAAATCTCACACACGCAGAGGTATGGGGCATTTAACAACAGAGGAACCAAGGAGCTGGGCACTTCAGCTCTTGCAGGAGACTTGGGGAACCTGTGGGGTTTCCACTGAGGTCCTGCCAGCTCCTCACCTGCTGCCATCCCCATTCCTGACCCATGAGCACCTTGTTCTCCTGACGTGCTCAGGGCCAGGCTCCCACCATAGCCCTGTGTGTGGGAGCATCCCCCTGCCCGCCCCAGGACCCTGCTGCAGGGCTCCCCCAGACCCCAGCAGAGAGCATCGGGCTCTGCCAGTGCGAATGCTCTGGCCAAGCTTTGAGCCGCCTGCTCGGGTCTGCCTTCAATCCACAGATAAGGTGAAAGCTGGAGAAACCACAGGGCTCACGGGACATTGTCACCTTGGAGATAAGAAGAGCCAGACTTTCTCCTGGAGGAGTGTGAACACTCACACCCTGAAAGGAGAGATTAAAGGGGAGAAGCTGCAGGCTGGGGGGAAAGACACTGAGTGGGCTCAATGAGGTCCTGGAGTTGCAGGGCCTGCTGGATCCAGCATGCTGATCTGAACGTTTCCCTGCCTTGGACCGCACCCAGGAGACAGCACAGCGTGGCTGTGTCCTCCCCTCAGGACGCAATGAGTTCACTCTTACAACTGGTGCCATCAACAAAAGTCCTCATGCTTCAACTTGTGTCGTCTCCTCTGCCTCATCCCTCCGCAGAAGCTACAGTCCAGGACAGTCTGCGGGACCTGCCAGCCCCATATCTCCCTAAGCAACACCAAAAAAGCACGAGCCTGTCTTAACAGCCCCAAAATGCAAAACGAGGGCAGAGGACAACGACACGAACACAGCCATGCCTGCTTCCTCTGCACTGCTGGAGCAAGGCTCAGCCAATAGTCAACAAAGTCCTTCTTCACAGCCACAAGATGTTTAAGGGTGGACTGCATCCATGCATGCCACTTGCATAAGCTACACCTGTAAACCCTTCAGGAGAAGATGCTAAGCCCATAGGTGGACAACTTCAGTGCCAGCTGTGATACAGATATTTTGTGGGATGAGGAACCAGTTGGTGATGCTAATCTGTGACCGTATATATAATCAATAAATTACTCGAACCCCAGATGTCAGGCACAGGACCGTATTCTCCCATAACACACCTGCCAAGGGATGTCTAAAGATCATTCGGAGGCTGGTGTGACTCACACCGGTGAGCAACGCCTGCCACGTGGGATTCCTCCTTGCTCTCTCCACAGGGGAGGTAAAGGCCCAGCAGGCAGCTGGGTCAGCTTTCTCAGAGCCAAGCCACCCCAGCCCATAGGGCTGCCGCCGGTGCGGACGTGAAGGCATCCAGAGGAAACCCCTGATAAGCTCCTGCTATCACAGTGAGGAGAAGATGCCATAGATTCCTTGCAGACATGCGTGCAAATCCGCTTGGACGCTGCCCAGCCTCTACTGGGGCCCTAAGGAGCCCCACAGGAATTTCAGGGGGAGTGGAGATTTACTCCAGCATCGACCAGACCACATCACCATCAAGACCCTCAGCCCCTTTGGCCTCTTGTGCTGTTTTGGGAGACGGAACAGCAGCCAGGTGTGGTGGATCTGGATGGCTCTCTGGTTATTCCCATCCTATCGGTTCCTACGTGAAAAGCCATTGACCCAGAGAAACCCACAGAAGCTGAAAATCTGTGTGTTGGTGCCACCTGAACAAGAGTCAGTTTTCCTTGCTCATGTAGTTTCCCAGCACAAGTCCTGCGTGACAGAAGTGGTGGCTTCACAATTTGGCCCGTATTAAGCAAAGCACTGACATACAGTCCGTTTCCCTGAGCACAGGGCACCACATATCAGTCATTTCTGGCAGTGCAGATGTTCCTAACCCATGGCAAATACTAAATATTGTCACTGGTCTTTGTTGCCCCTGTGTTTATTTTACATAGACACACAAAAACACACAACCCTATCAGCCATTTCCTAGCGAAGAAGTAATTGTTACATACCATCTTCTCAATTTTGACTTTGTAGGAACCTCTTTGGGTCAAAATATCAATTTATAATCTCACGAGAATGGCAGAGGATCAATCCCTCACTCCCAAGGTGAACCAGCTAGAGGTCTCTGGAACCGCCTCCAGGTGTATTCGCACAAGACCTGACGCAATGGGCCTCTCGTCACAACTCAGCCTCCAGACTCTGCCACAAGAGCGACATATACACGACTCACAACAGGTCTGTGAAGCTATAGATAACAATTTTTGCACTTGAAATGTTCGTGCGTGTGTCAAACTGCAGCATTAGGCACAGCAAATGCCTGGCTGGAGCTCTCAACCACAGGAGCAGCCAGTCCAAACTGTTGAGTCTACTGGGAAATATGTTGCTTTTCTCACATGGCTTTGACTGCTCACCCTCACAACAACCTCTAACTGCTTTTCATGCCCTGGAATATGTAGTACATCTCTAGAAGTCCTTGACACAGGATGCTGCGGGTGCTAAAAAGGGATCTAAAGATGGTTATACAAGTTCATGAAGGTAAAAATCCACCAATGGCTACTAAACATGGATACTGCTCTATCACAAGTAGTCTCAGAGCTGTGAATTGTTGGAGATTGTAAAATAATTCTGGGGAAATACATTTGTTTTGTTCACACACTCTTCTCCCATCACACCTGGGATCTCCACCATGGGTCCAATGCATCTCAGTGACCACTGCCGGGTTGGCTGTGGTGACCAGCGGAGTAGAATATCCACCACTTCAGTCACAGGAACAGAAGACTAGCAGCCCTTACTAGCATGTTCTTGAATTACTCAGTTGTCCTGAGACGACATGAGAATACTGAAAATATATTCCCAGCTCCACTGCTCACCAGTGAACCCTGAGCACCCACTCCTCCTCTGTGCCCAGTTCCCCATCCCCAAGGGATGACCAAAACACCTCATTCAGAATTAGCTTGGGGTGGGAAGAGGAAACATTTGCAACTGCTCACAGCACGCTGTGTGATCTTTGCTAAAACACCTGCCCCAGCTTAGTGCTGGAAGTGTCATCAGCTCCTGGGTCATCCTAAGTCATCCACACCCTCATTGCTCTCTCCTCCTCTGTGCAATGTAGATAGTGACCTCTCCCAGTCCCAGGACAGCCAGGGACATACACGTCTCAGCTTCCACTCCACCAAAGGTGAGGCCAGCGGTCAGAAGAGCAAGTAGGAGTGTCCTTCACGCAACAGACCGAGCAGGCAGAACAGCTCCCTCAGCTCACCAGAGCACTTATGGTAATGCCTACAGCTGTGCAGCAATTCAATGGCATTTTAGATGAAGTAAAAGCTTTAGAAGAGGGAGATCTATTGCCCTGTGGTAGAGTCTCCCCCTCCTTTCCCCCAGGAGCTGGAGGAAGCCACATGATATGCATCATATAAAAGCAGACCAGAAGCAAAATGCACTTGAAAACTCACCATGGGGAACAACCGTGCCCTGCTTTAGGGCAGTAAATAACTGATTTTGTCTTGTTCATCTCATATTTTATTGGCTCCGCTGTTTGTGCAGTGCTTCATGGAAGAAAGTGAGCTAACAGAGCAGAGAGCCTTCTCACTGCCCAGCTGCCTCCTCCCCCACACAGGCACCATCCCCTCCTTGCTTTCTCTTCCTTACAGCTATGTGTGACAGCAGCTTTGAATGCAGCACCACCACACCATAGTCACACAGCACTTTCAGCAACAGCTTGGAGGAGAAGAAGCGGTGCC